ATAAGGCTTTGGAAGACTCTCGGTCACATCCTGAATATGAGCTCCCGGTAAGCAGCACACGTCTCAAGATTGCAGGTCTGGTGGGCAGATGGATGACTCAGTCCCTCTTAGGAGGGAGTCCCCGACCACGACCACCCATCTTCTTCTTTTGGGGGTTGTGGTCGTGGAACCCCCATCTCTAGGACTGCGCATCCCATGCCTTCCAGTAGATGGTGTTCCCTTCGGATTTCTTCCCTGGGAGGTCCCTGACACAGCATTCTCCACCACAGTGCCTGTGGAGAGAGCCTGAAAGCGGTTACTTACCTCTACAGGAATGGGGGATACCTGAGTTGGCCTTTTTCTCCTTCTAGAGGTTACATGCTGCCAGTTTTCTTCCTTGTCCTGTACTGCCCTCACTGGCTCTTCAGCCTGCCATGCCTGCAGGATTAAACGCTGCCTTCTATTGAAGAAGTCTTCGTCCTCTCTGATGGAATGTAGGGTCGATACTTGGGCCTCAAGTCCTCTAATTTTTTCTTCCAAAATGGCGACCAGCTTGCACTTAGTGCGGATGAAATCCCTTGTTTCTTCTGGGAGGAAGACAAACATGGCACATGCTGTGCAGGTATCAACAGCAGAGCTATCACCATCCATCCCTGCCTTCCTCCGGCGAGATTCCTTAGTTATTAAATGCCTCCTTGAAGGGCAGGAGTGTAGCGAAAAGATGCTAAAGAATGGCCAGTGTATCTTGCCCCCTTCCCAACCCCCTCGCCAGACTCCCTGTTAGCAACCCCTGGTCGCAAGCTCCCTAGTCGCTGACTCACTCCTTTATAAAGCCCTGCACTGCCTGATAGCCCCTCCCCCTGATTAAGGCTCAACCAATGAGCAGAGGCTTCTAGATTTCAAACCCCGATTAGAAGCTCACAGCTTCCACCTGCCAGCCACAGCACATACTCTGTGAGGAGGAGAGGGGGAAGGGAAAGGAGGGAAGCCCCCCCCCGCAGGCTCAGCACACAGCAAGAAAACCCCAAACACAAACACACACTACAGACAGACACTTCCCTCAAGGGTCCTGTATTAGCTTCCTCCTTTACCTGGAGAACTCCCTCTCCAAACTCCGTTAGCAACCCCTGTTCGCAAGCTCTCATGAAGAGGCACATTGTATGTTGTGATAAAAGCAAAGGGCGAGAACTTTCCCCTTGTGGGGTGAAGGAAATGCCAAAACGAGGGTTATTCGTGCAGCCTGTCTTCATTCCACTTGTGTGTGGGCGATCTGGTAATCTTGAATTACAGCCTGACATCTGCCCTGGGTAACCTCATGGAGCAACCAATGCAGAACTCAGCTAATAAAGAATTAAGAAGGGCAACAGAATGAAATGCCGATCGACGAGGGTTCCTAGGAAATAGAGCCTGTCCAACTAACGCTGGGTCTGCTTTGAACAGATTACAAGTTTGCTTGATCACATGTTACTACAGTTTGCTTGGGCTCTTGTAAAGCGTGTGATTTTTTTACCACATGACATGTTGATTAGGAAACTAGGGTAATGCACATTCCACATGGCACCCATGAAATAGATTTAGTACGGGCTAACTGAAGGCTCTCAGATTGTAACTGAATGGGAAAACAACACAGCACCTTTGAGTGTCTAGGGGGCCCCTCAGGGATCCATGCTTGGCCCTACACTAACGTTTTTACTAGGGAGGGGAACGTAAATCCCCAGGGATGAAGTTTGCAGACAGCACAAAGATTGTGGGAGTGGCACATGCTGAATGGGACCCAACGCGACATGGGTGCCTGGTGTGTAAGCAAACAGTCCATGCTTTAATGCAGCCAATTGGAAAGTTGTCCATGTAGGGAAGGGGAACATGAGCCATGCTCTCAGAACGCAGGCTCTGTCCAGGGGAGGCTTTGATAGGACTTGAGGGTCATGGAGGATGAGCAGCTGAACATGAGCGCCCAGTGAAACATAGTGGCCCAAAGCGCCAGGGCGGCCCTGGGAGGTGTAAACGGGAGATGGCAATGCTGCCTTTAGCACTAGTGCAAGCCCTGCTGCAGTACTGGGCCCCGTTCTGGTTTCCATGAGTCAAGAAGGACGGTGATAAATTGGAGAGGGTTCCGAGAGCCACCAGGACGGTGAAAGGTCTCAACACCGTTCCTGAGAGCGACCGGCTTGAGGAGCTGATTCCATGTCGTTTAATCGGGTGATCAGCGTCTAGACTCCTCATTCTAGCAGACAAAGGTGTAACGAGGACTAATGGCTGAGAGCCGGCACTGCACAAATTCAGGCTTGAAACGAAGTGTGCATGCTTGGTACTGAGGGTAAGTAACCCAGGGCGGCGGCGATGGATGCTCCATCTGTGGCAACTTTTCAGCCAAGTTTGGCTGTAAGATCTGCCCTCATTCCACCAGGGACTCATTCAGGGAAGTGCTCAGGCCACGTGATCACATGCTCCCTGATGAGTCAGGAATCCGGGAATGACTCTCAGGCTGTTCCTCCGCAGAGAGCCATACGGAGATGTTGTAACATCCTAGAAATGCGCTTGTCTTCTGGGCCATGTTTCCCGTTCTTCGCTTGCCCCGTGCTCCACCGCGGTTGACTGAGGGTGGATCCTGTGGAAGCATCCTTGGTGCGACCCACGTTCAAGGTCTGCTGTTGAGAATGACCTTACCTGGGCATGGGGGGAGGGGGGAGTTTCCTGCATCCCTTCCCTCGTGGCGGATGCTCCCAGGCCGCGCATCTCAGCAGCTGTTGCTCAGAAGAATGCTTGGTAGGCTTGTGTAGGCGGCACATTCTCCGCATCTCTCACGTGAGTGCCTGGGGTGGTTTGATGTCTCCTGTTTTCTGTCCGCAGTTTGCTTGGTGTGAGAAGTGGCTTGTCTAGCTAGGAATGAGTGAAGTGCGGCAATGACACAGAAATGATTCAGGCTTTGGAACAGCTGCCCTGAGGGAAGATTAACAAGACTGGGACTTTTCAGTCTGGGAAACAGATGACGGCGGTGGGGGGGGATGTGACAGAAGTCTATAAAATGATGACTGATGTGAAAAGGTGACTAAAGAAAAGTTACTTACTCCTTTCCAGAACTCAAGAACTAGGGCTCAGGAAATGAAATGAATAGGTAGCAGATTTAAAACAAACAAAAGGAAGTATTTTTTCACACAATGCAGTGTCAACCTGTGGAACTCCTTGCCAGAGGACATTGTGAAGGCCAAGAATATAACAGGGTGTGAGTCAACAAGAATTCTTAGGGAGTCATGCTGGCGCAAGTGGGATCAGCTCTGACCCTGTGACCAACGCTGCTGAGTTATGAACATAAAGACCCACTGTGCTGGAGAGAGCAGGGAGATTTTCAGTGCGGCATTCTTTGTCAGACAATGCTGGCTAATTGAAACCAAAACTTTTCCTGGGCCTGTAACGGTTTCCATAAAACGTCCATGGAGACAGTTTCTCAGATCCAAGAGATGAAATTTCTGGTCAAAACCAGGGAGTGAGTAACCACCACCCCAGAATAGCCAAGAGCCAGGGCTTAAGAGACTCCTTAGGAGTGAGGAAAACCCAAGTGTGAGACCCTTCTCTGCTTGAATCCGAAGAGGGACTAGAGCCCGTGTCTCCACATCCCGGGCAGGTGACCTCGTTATCTGGTTCTTCCTATGGGGAGGGTCTCTCTTGCCCTTGAGGTTTCCATTAAAAGTTTTGAAAAGTCTCATTTTCCTTCTGATGCAGAACAAATGTCAAAACCTCAGAATTGTTTGGAAAATGAAATTTTTGTTTTCTGGCCAGCTCTGGTGCTGAGCCCACGGCGCTGCCTCTCGTGTGTGGCACAGGGAATGTGTCTCGGGGGCAGCTCGGTGTCCAGTCTCTCCCAGGTGTTTATGCAGCCCCCATCAGTGGCTCAGTCGCACTGTGTTTCCCTAGCCAGTAACCCCAACCAGGCAGGCAGTGCGGTCTCCCCGTTTTCCAGAGACAGCGTGGGGCACAGTGCGACAAGGTGAACTGCCAAGATAGCGCTCGCAGGGAATTCTGGATCCCTGGCTGATCCTGTCTCTAGCGCTCTGGCGACAGCAGAAAGCCAGGAGGGAGACACAGATCAGTCGCATGTTTGAGAATCTGGAAATAGGCCGTTGCTGAGGCAGCTTGCCAGAGAGCCACCAAGTGCCAGTGACTACGGCCATTTTGTGCCCAGGCGGCTTTGTGCCAGGTGCAAGCAGGAGACAACAACTCATGTCACACAAGCCACTGAGACGCCTTTGGGCAGCAGCATCTTCCCTTCACCCGGCTGCATCTGAGACCAGAGACTGAGGGTATGTCTACACTGCATCCCGAGTTCGAACTAGGGATGCAAATGGAGACAATCGAAGTAGTTAATGAAGCGGGGATTTAAATATCCCGCGCTCCATTAACATGATCTCGCCGGCGCGCTAGTTCGAATCACAGCTGATTCGAACCAGGAAGTGCGCGCCGGGACGCGTTAGTTCGGACTAAAGCCCTTAGTCCAAACTAATGTTACCAGAACGGGGCCCAGTACTGCAGCCGGCCACCAAAAGGTGAAAGGGGCAGGCTAGAGGGCAGCCCCCTGGTCTGGGACTGCCCCAGCCCCATGCCTCTCCCCTCCCCTCCACATTTAGGTGCCTGGCATAAGCTCTCTCCCCCCCCTCATTTAGGGAAGGGTGGAGTGGGCTGAAGTCCTGGCTGTTCTCCTTTGTTAGGGAGCCAGGGGAAAGTGCAGAGTTTGCTGCATTCCCCACTCTGCCTGGATGAACCTGGACCTGCCCCGGTTGGAGGACATGCCCCCCTCCTCCGGCTGTGCCTGCTGAAGCTGCAGTGGCCATGGAGAGGCGCATCTCACCAGGCCCCAAGCTGCAGCAGTGAGACAGGGCTGGGTTGTCCTCTCTCCCCAGGGCAAACTGCACCCTGAACCCTCCTCCCCTGCCCCTCCCCAGAACAATGATTCAAATGAAGCCTGGACATTTGCATTTTATTTTCCAAAAACCAAAAATGAATCAAGTTTGTTTTCTGAATTACAGACCTAACGTTTGTGGCTCGAGGTTCCACTCTTACTGCTGCCCTGGATGGAAAACGCTGCCAGGAGGAAATCAGTGCATTGTTCGTGAGTATCCGCTTCCCTTTTAATGACCTCCCAGGGCATCTCCGGGGAGCTAGCTACCTTGCAGTGATGAAGGACACAATCCACCCTTGCTGTAGAGGAAATGAACATTCCTAATCTGCTTTCAGTGGGCAGGAGCACTGAGAGCGGGAACGGGTGATCTCCACAGGCTGGCAGGAGATGAGTGGATCTAACCTGCACCATTTCCTAGAACTTGGACATGGCTCTTAGGACCCTGCGGCATTGTCTGTGGCCTTTAAATTTTAGGCCCCTGCTATAGCACATTAGTCCCCAAAGGACCATTGATAGTGACTCCAATTTAAAACTGCTTGCTTGGAGGAAGACGTTTTTATAAGAGACATTTAACTAGGTGCCTGGATCTAAAGACACATCTGACTACAAATTGTCTGATCACAAATTTCCATCTTCCTTTGAATCATCTGGTGCTAGTCACTGTCAGTCAGGGGCTGGACTAGATAAAGTAGTTGATGTGGTACAGGAACCTGTGTTCCTACGAGACTATCAAGAAGCCCTCGGGAAAGACCCTTGCTAAAAACTAATAAGAAGACTAATCAGAGCTTGTTGAAAATATTTTTTCTGGTAAAAAAAAATTAAAACAAGACTTTTTTTCAACATTTTTTATTTTTTAGAAGTTACTAAGTAGCATAATTACAGTCCAGGTCCAATCTTTCTCATCCGGCACTCTCTGGTCAACAATAGCCATGGTCCGGCATGATTGTGGTGAGCTGGATGTGTGCTTACAGGTGCGGTCAGGTTTCCCATGGCCCCACAGAGTTTGTTTGCAGCCATCAGTGCTTGGCTCCCTGTGTTCTGCGCTGTTATTTAGCTCTAATTTACCTGTAAATGTCTCCTAAAAGCCCATCAAGCAAAGGCAGTGTTGGCAACGCTGCTAGACAACATTGTCCTCCCGGGGTCTGGCAAGTTCTCTGGTTCAGCACCGGTCAGGTCCTGAGGGTGCTGGTGTAGAGCAGTTCAACCTGGACTCCCTGTTTCTTTTGCCCCACCCTGCTATTTTGAATGATTTGGGGTTTTACAACACCAAATTGAAACACACATTTCAATTTAAACACGATGGATACTTGTCTTCCCTTCATTGCCACCAGAAACAAACATTGTATCAACAGAACCCCAGTTTCCATCAGTTCTAGTAATTAATCCTGGATCGTAGATCACAAACCAGCTAAAGACAGAGAACAAAGATTAGGAATTAATGGTCAATGTTCTTCATGGCAGAAATATCACAAAAGTGTCTGCAGTAGGGTTGTATTGTCTGAGGGTAGGAGGTGCCAAAAGGCATAAGGATAAGGTGGCAAAATGGGCTGACAGCTTGCAGTCTTTAGACTAGTGACAGGAAGACAGAAATTCCACAAGGTTCCAGGTGCTGGGTGTAGCCAGCGATTCAGTAAGAAACAGTCTTCTCCCCGTGAACACTGAATTGATATCGACTAAGGAAGCAGAATAACTCTTAGGCCACATCTTCACGCTGCAGAGATCGACTCTGCCGCGACTGATCTTTCGGAGTTCGATTTAGTGAGTCTAATTAAGCCTTGCTAAATCAAACTCAGAGGGTGCCCCCACCGGTGACCAGAACACCTGCTCTAGCCAGGAGTAAGGGAAGCCGATGGGAGTGTTTGCCCCTGTTGGCCTTCTGCTGTGGGGCAGCTGCCAAGCTCGGGTTAAGGTAAGCTGCCTCCAGCTACATGTTCTGTGTAGGTGGAGTTGTGTACCTTAAGCCAAGCTGCCGGGGCTAGTGTAGATCTGACCTCAGTGTCCCATGGGGCAGTGAGACTGGAAGAGCCATACCAGAATAACTCTCCTTCGGTGTGTGTGTTTGATACACCCTACATTGACATGAGTACACGTTGTTTTCCCCCCCTGCTCTGGGGATGAGTCAGGGTTGTGGAATGAAGGAGGCTGTGGCCAGGAGAACTCGATTTCATTTGTTGCCCAAGTCGGAAGTCATGCAGTAAAAGCGGCAGGGGGCGCAGGAAGAAAAGGCTGCTCTCACAGCTAAGGAAGTCAAATGCTGCCCTAGAGAACTGTATTCTATCCCTTCCTCTGCCA